GGGGCGAGGCTCTCTCGGTTAGCGGCCAACTTGGCAGCCCTCTCCGTCCACCGGAGGACACATCCCTGGAATTTCTCGGCTGGAACTTTTCTTTGGTATGGACTTGACGTTGCGCCGTGCACCGCGTGTCGCGCGTGAACTATTCCTCCACGCTGCTGAAACAAAACCGGCTCGATGAAACTCGATGAAACGAGGCCCTCCTCTCATCGCCGCGCGAAAGAAAAGAGAAACGGACGCTGGGACCGCCGGACGGATCAAAATGGCCGGCCGTGATTTCCTGTTTCGCGGTCGATGAAACGATCGCGTTCGTGGAAGTTATCGTCGAATTAACGCTAGGTTCACGGGCGTTTATTGTATCATCGTTCAATTGAATGAATTATAGCAATTCGATTTGGGGTCACCGGTGACACTCATGGCGTCCAACGTGTTAACAAAATTACAAGCTGTTATATATAATATTAACCCTTAGCACTCTAGGTTGTTTTGTAATCTATCAGCAACTGCAACTAATTTTTATAATATTCCCAGCGAAAATGAGAAATGCTACGACATTTCTTCGATCTTTTATTTTCCTTAGTACAAAATTTAGATGTGTGGAAAATCTAATAATTTTCGAGTAGTTTCTTTAAGATTCATTAAAATATTTAATATCACAACCGATGCAATATTGGAGCCTACAGAGTTCAAAGGGTTAAGTTCCGTATAATGCATCAATATGTGAAATATTTATATAAAATAGCTTCGTTTCTCAATCGACGTATGTTTCCCCATTAGCTCGTCAAATAATGTTGCCTATGTCACTGAAAAGTGTCGAATGTTAACGGAAACCTTCCGAGTGTAAAGGGTTAAACGATTTCAAGTAAAAACGAAACGAGCAAAGGGTTAACACTAGGTTTACTCACGTTTATTGTCCGGTTTATTCTATTCTTAGAAAAATTGATGTTCGACCATTTAGATTCTGGAAATTAGGGATTTAAAATTATTTTATTACTATACGTATTCTCGTAACTGCATCAACCAAAACCGACATAAACGTTTGCCGAGTAACGTTTATAAAATTCAGTATGCGTCGAATCGACGCACTCCGTGAACCTAGTGTCAAAACGATTTCAAGTTTCACAAATACGTGACACGCCGGTGGCGAACGTGTTATTTTTTCGAGAAACGGACATTAAGCCACTTTTAAGGTGAACAGCTCGTATAATGTCTCCCAGGAATTCCATCGGTAAAAATCGGACGGCGCGCTCGACTCCCACGCAGTTGCGCCGCGGCTCGCGGGATAAAGCTGGGAGAGCTGCCGGCCGCGCGCCCGAGGGGGAGATTCCGTCTGCGAGCGGGCAGCCGGCCAGTTGTAACAATAGGAACAGAAACTGGTTTCCGCGCGCGGCAAAAATCCGCGCGGCGGCCGTGCCTCGTGGTCGACTTTCACGTGCACGCGGCGGCCGGCCGGCTACCTCGTATCATCGACGCCCGCCGACGCTGACCGCCGTGGGGAACATTAAAGTCCTTTTTTCATGGAAAGTCCGCCGCGGTATCGCGTTCCCCATTGTCCGCGTTTCCGTCGACGCGCGCATTAACAGCAGAACTACCGATCGCTTAACCATTCGCACTCGAAAGGTGTCCCTCGGTCAATTCATCGGTGCATCGAAATTGTAAAATTTTGCGATTACAGAAAGGGAACACCTCTTTGAGGAATTAGCAATGAAGCTGATTAAGTAATACCTAAGCTGCAGTTTGAACTGATTCAAAGCTTCGCAATGTCACGTTTGTAGTTCTGATAAAGGAATTCTCAGAAGTCAGTTTAACGTTAGAGCTACCGTTTATTTAATACGATTAACCCTTTGCGGACGGATGTCGGCGTTTCGGTGAGATGAAATGTTCAGATTTGGAAGACTGAGCCGTGGAAAAATGATCTAATTAGTCGAACGGTAAGGGATCACGTAGTTTTCTTTCTTTCTATTAATTAAGCAATTGATATGTAATTTAGCTCCATATGTTGAAGGTTTTGTATGTTTCGAAGAATCTTCTTCCGCAAACGGTTAATGTATAATCCCCATGAAGATTGTGACAATAGATTATTTTCAGTTTCTTCAGACATTCATTATAGTAGTCAAGTAAAACTTGATTTTTAAGATAATTTTGAATATTCAATGGCTTTAAGATATCAATAATTGCGGAACAAAGGAATCAGAACCAGTCATTTCGACTGGCACGGTAGTTCTAGTGTTAACCCTTTGAACTCTGTAGGCTCCAATATTGCACCAGGAATGACATTAAATATTTTATTGAATCTTAAAGAAACTACCCTACAATTATTAGATTTTTCATCCAAATTTTGAACTAAGAAGGAAAATAAGTTTCAGTTTTGCTATTACTGAATTAGTTCCGTTAATCATTTTTCGTGGAAGTATCTGTACCTTTTCAGTAATTGTAAGAAAGGAAATCGGAAATAAGTCATTCTATCTTATCCGGTAGTTCTAGTGTTAACGGGGAACGTTGCTAATAATATCGATACCGCAACCACAACCGCGGCGGCCATGTTTTTCCTCGCGGAGCCACGGAGAAATTTGAAATCGTTCGAACCCTTTACACTCGGACGTTTCTCACTAATATACAATTAATATGTTGGATGCTATCGGGATCACCGGCGACTTCGACGAAATCGAATTACTACTTGATCGATGTTTAAAAATATATCAACAAATTAACCGACGTTCGCGTTTCTAGTAGCCAAAATTTAGCCGGCGTGCAACGTGTTAACCCTTTGCGAGAGGTGACTCGCCATTTGATTTAACATAAAATTGCAGTGTCATATATAATATTAAATTTTGTATAATGCAGCGACAAATGAAATATATAAATTAGCTTTGCTTCTTAAATCACGTATTTCTCATTAGTTCGTTTCAAATGTCGTCTGTCGAAAATGTCGAATGTTTCTGAAAAGCTTCCGCGTGTAAAGGGATAATTTCGGTAATTATGTTTTCTAGTAAACCCTTTAGAAGATTTTATTAAATATAGTATTTTATTATATTCTTCGAAGATATAGAAAGTAACAGTGGACGTCAACGAGCAACGCAATTTAGGCGATCACGATTCAGAAGAATCTGATTCGCAGAATTTTCACGAGAGCTTCCCTTAACAAATCGTAGGTGTAGGTTGAAGGATTTCCATTGTACGTGAAATATAACTTTAACCATTCCCCGAACGTTTGTTTCCTAGGCGCAATCACTTTGGAAAGTAAACGGTCCGATAGCTAAAGCGGATTCTGCGAATTCTACGATTTCACTCGTTATTCTTCGCCCGTCGTTCAAAATACAATTCGCCCGACTCTCTGTCTCTGGCGGACGAGGTATTCTAGCTAGACGTTTTCCGCGAGATTTCCTCGAAATTCTTTTTTCTGGTCTCCTTGTTAAAAGTTACGGAGAAAGTTACGAATTTGAAGCGTAAACGTTTCCCGGAGTTATTGTTCGGTTCCCGAGTCGCGGCACGAAGGAAACGTACGCTTCGACGGCGGCGCCTGAAATTTCGATTCTTTTTTGCGAAAGTTTCGCGCTCGATATTCAATCTGCAGAGCCAATTTCCTTGTGGCGGTCCCTTATACCGAGATATTCGTTTCCTCCGCCGAGTCCTCTCTATATACTAGACCTACCGCACTGGAAGACGATTTTTCTTGTCAAAGCAAAGAAAGGGAGGAGATAATCATTCTTACTCTACCGAGATCTCCAATTTTAACAGGGATTCGGTATTATATTCCCGGTTCATTAGAAGACCTAACGCGATCCCGATTTTCGAACTGAAAACCGAAAAAATTTCTTCTTGGCGCGTGACACGTTTCGAAATCACCCATTCTCGACTTAGAATGGTTGAAAGGACACAGATACTTGTTTGAGAAATTAT